TTGTCTTTGAGTAACTGGCACCGCAATCTTCACAATTAACAAGAAAGAGCTCTGCCAAATGTTACTGCACACAGATGGACAGACCTTATCTGCAGATAAGTACCTACCAAATTGAAGGCGTTATTGCCAGCAACCAGCTCTCTGAGGTCTATGTAATCATGGCCTAGAAGACAGTTCCCAATTAATCCTATGAAAGTTATCACCCAAGTCAGCAAATATTGCAAGGAAAGGGGGCATTCCTCTTTCTTCACTGGATTTCACCTCTAAAAAGTGAGGCTGAGGGACACTGGAGCTAGTTTATGAATAAATGGGTTTTGAGCCTCCAGTTTCAGGCCTCGCACACTGCGTCTACAGCACAATTGTGACTGTGGAGATGCTCTGAAAGCTAAAAGACTGTCCCTATGTTATATGCAAAGTCCTTCCTTGTACTTATCCTTCTGGGAACTGGAGACAAGTCTTTGTCTTGTGTAGGTAGATGAAATGGTAATTTCTTTTTCTCTCCAGTGAAAGGCAAAGGATTCAAATCTAAGATTGTGTTCCTCACATTACAGCTGCTTTTAGAAGCAGCCAACCGATTCATGTCCTGCTAAGACAAAGGAGAAGAACCTCAGCTAGTGCTGAGAGGAAGAGACTGCTTCCCACTATGGATTTCACAGGAGGGAAATTCACTCAAAGAGGTATTTTTCTGCTCCTATTCAGAAAATAGAGAAAGAAGCCACAGAGAAGGACCTCTTTGCCTGGGTCACTGAGAGAGCACCCAGTCCCCTTCAAACACAACACCTGGCATAACATAAGAAAAGAGCCTGCTCTGCAGTGTGACCTTCCTAGGAAGATACATTAGTATTGAAAGGATGGAGAGCTCCTGAAGCAGAATGTCAGTGCACATGGATGCTGAGATTTTAGTTATGAACAACCCAAACTTCTGCGCAGAACATCTTGTTTGTACCCTGTGTATGGAGCTGCCTGGTAAAGCAGGAAGGAAGAAAGAGGAGGCAGAGCAGACCTATTTCTGATCTCTCAGTGTGGTGTGAGCTGAGCATAACTAGGAACACCGACTCAGTTGTGCTGGCTCCAAATGCTTTCAGTCACATACTCAGGCTGATTTATGCTTCTAAAATCACAATGCTCCTCTGGAATTAAGACACTCCTTGCTGAGCCAGTCTTTCACATGGAGTTTCTCGATCAATGCTTGCTTAACTTGTTTGGACTATCTCAGGAGACACAGGGCTTGATCTTTCTCTGGATAGCCCAAGCTAGGAAAACAGAGGCAAGGGAAGGTGCATGTCATTAGGGATATGGTAATGTTCCTGGGCAGGCAAGTCCCAGCTGCTAATTCATGTTAGGGGGACTCTACCTGCCTGCAAAAGGAAGAGGAGGGAAGAGGGATCAGACCATATGGGGTATCCCTGAGTTGCAAACCCCACGAGGGAAGAGAAGAAAAAAGGAAGTGAAGGACAGATACATTTGTACTCTTTAAAGATGAGGATTGGGGATCCGGGGCTCAGGTGCCATCCTGGCTGATGATCTCCTCTTTCAATCCTTGCATGCAAGGAAGAAGCAAAGGTGGGCTGTGACTCTTTCTGGTTGGCCCTTGTTCCAAAGAGGGGCCGCTCTTTGGAAGCTGTGCCAGCTGGAGCAAGTGGATGTCCCTTGCAACATTTGGAGTCAGGATGCGTGCCAAAACAGCCTCTTGCTGCAACACTGAGTTCTAGCCAAAGACGCCTCTGGAAATTCAGACTCTGTGGTGGTTTCCTCTGCTATTGAGAACAGGCTGTTGGCTCCCTAGCGGGATGTGAAAAGGCAGAAGTGTTCACAGAATGCTAAATAGGGAGGGGAGGGAATAATATAACTTTCCCCTCGGCCCTGCAGCAAGTTGCTCTGGCTACTGCAGCTTCCTTTGAGGGGCCCTGCCTCTCCATAGCTGCTGGAGGACTGCAAAATGGGACTTTGTTTCAGACTGACAGTGATTCAGTGGCAAATCCCCAAGCAAACAGAATTTGTTAAAGTCCATAGGCACTTATTCTTTGTAAGGAGAATGTTAAGACTTAAAGCCTTCCCTTGGCAGCGTGTCACCACAGCACAGCTTCTGGTGCACTCGCATCACAGACTGGACGACCAGTACATTGTACGGATGGTACATTGGCTGATGGTGGCTCCTTGCACAGGGAAGACTTTCATCCTCAAACACATCGCAAGGAGGAGGGTGGGCTTGCCTGATCTTCACACACAAAGGGTGGAAAAGAAAGAACTCCGATGGCTGAACAAAACTAGGATTGCTGGGACAAGCCTTCTCCTTATACCCTGTTTCCATTATGGCTCAATTATTGACGGCAGCAATGTACGTTCACAGTTGAAACCCTGCTGGCAGCTGTCAGGATTGCAGATGATTATCAGTAAAAGCAAGAGGCTTTTAGTGCTGAGACAGGGAGTTTTCTTTCATGTTGGCTAGCTTAGAAGATCACCCCAGGTCTCTCCCTGTTCTTCCCCTCTTTCCTTTCCAGTACATAAAATCCCTGATGGTAGATCTTTAGGCACACCTGTCTTAACCCTAGCTCCAGTTCTCCCTCTTGAAAGCAAGCTGCACAGCATCATTCACATCCTGCACTATGTAAGATGCCTCCACCAGGCTGGGATCAAAGCAGAAGTCCCGATGGCCATGGAATACTGCCTCCATTGTGCACTCCTCCGTGTTACTGGGAACATCTGCGTTGTGGCGGTAGACCCCAGTGCAGACCAGAATCGACTCGCAGCTCTCCACTGAACTGTTGCAGTCCCTCCTCAGCTCAACGTGATCCTCAGTTTGGGGACTGGCTGCCTGCAGGCTCCTCTTCACGCCAGCCTGGACCTGGTTCTGGTGAGCTGACTTGAGGTGGTTGTGGTAGAGGTTTGCCCCATAGATATCAGACATAGGGTTATCCCTGGATAAGGTCACAGTGTGAAACAGAAATGAGAAACTAGCCCATGCATCAATTTCTGGCTCTGGCAGACCAGGATTAAGGCAGCACTGAGGGAGGAAGGGGCACAACATATTTATAACATCAAGAGAACCACCCAGACTGGACCAGTGAGTCCACTTACTGGTGTGTCCTGTTCAGCTGTGGTGAAGGCCACATGCTTCACAAACATCTTTCAAAGGGGAAAAGATGCGTCCAAAGCACCCATAGCAGTTTCAGCCATTACAGTAACGCATTCCCTACGATCCCAAAGTGTTTGGCCTAACTGGCTTAATGGTACTACATCTGGGACTCTTAACTTTTTCATTAGTCCAGTCATGCGACATGTACTCTGCTTCCTACCATAACTGCTTTGCTAGGCTGACAGTGCCCTTCAAATTATTAAAAGCGTAGGGTGCAAAAAAGCTATCAAGCCTCTGTTCTAGGACGTGAGGCTCCAGAGACGCCATGGGGATTTCAGTAGTCATTTTAGATATCTCCATTAAAAAAAAAACACTTAAGAGAAGTCAGTACGCAACTCCCTAAGGAAACCAGCAGGAAAAACAGTCTCTTACCCAACTGCATAGAGGCGTCGGATGGGAGACTTCCAGCCCTGTTTCTTTGCCTGCTCTTTTATCAAGTATTCGGCATAGCGGTAGGTGACTGTGCTGGGTTTGCCAATCAAGGCCTCGTACTTCAGGTCCCGGCCTGTCACTTTCTTGTAGATGTTCTCCAAGCAGAGAAGGAAAGTGCCATGGCCAAACCTGCTCCAGAAAGGAGGTCATCAGTATCTCCGGTCACACCACTTAAGTAGCAAACACTCCTCAGTGAGGAGGACCATCTGCTGTAGCCAGCGTACCGCCTAGTTGGGACACAGTATCTACCCACACACGCCTCCACAGGCAGTGGTCTGGCTTTTGCTTCTTGAAAGTTTTAGCCTTTGTTTCTCATGCAGTTTTGATGTCTCTACTGCTAATGAAGCCATTCAGGCAGACTCTAACGCTAAAAAAAGTAGTATGTAAGAAAAGATCGTCTGCCGGAGAGACGTATGAAATAGGCTAAAACAAATACCACACATGCTTTTCACCTGGGCATCTTGGCTTCAGCCATCCACAGGAGATCCATGTTGCAGGCAAGGACAGGCAGATGGGGGTATGGTATATCTCGCAGCTCTGCCCCAGGGTTCCCGTTGCTCAAGAGTACGTCAATAATAAGTTGCAGGCTTGTCTCCCACCTCACTGGCTCACCAAACAGAATCACCCCTGGAAGATTTCAAGAGATGCTTGGAAACTCACAGTGTCCAAGTACAGGACACACTACCAAAAGCCACCCACTAGCGAAAGCACCCCTCTGCTGGCATGCCATGGCTTATACAGCTACAACCAGAACATGGCTTGTGCCAGGGCTCTGGTCTGCATATCACTGTACCACGTGCACCACTGCTTCCAGATGTTGGAGCATGATACAGAGAAAAGCTGGCTTTGCTCTTATCAGCTTGCGCTTCACGCTGCACGAGGGCAGCGAGGCTGCCTCCTGACTGTATCCTCTGACTGAGGTGCCTGTGGATACCAATGAGCTGACAGCACATCATTAGCTCCCATCCCAGCTGGCTTGCCTCACTGTTATTTCTGCTTGCTGCTCATATGTAAACAAAGGCTATAGCTTACCTTCTATAGTGGGGAAGCCAGTGGTTGGAGGAGGCTGCCAGGAAAAAACGAAGGGTGGGTTAGTAATGCAAAACCTTATGCCGTCTCCAAAACAAAACTAAAAATGCTTCCTTTGAACCTGCCAAGGCAGTCCCATAAAGAGGCAGGACAAGGCCACCTGGAATCCCGAAGAAAGATTTCCTCCACACCCCCATCCCAGATTGGATTTCACAGATCTTGCATTCCTG